CCTCCCTAACTCCTTCCAGTCTCCTTCCCGATCAGTGGCTCCTCTGGGCCGTGGAGGTGGATCTGAACAGCAGCCTTGGCCTGCTGTCTCCTTGGGGGCAGCTCTGGAGGGGGCCCACATTTGCTGAAGACCCCAGAATGGCTTGGGTCCTGCCCCTCAGTAGGCTCCCCAGCTCTGTCTTCTGCTCAGAGAAGGCCCGGCCCCATCCAACCATGGCCACTTCCCAACTCTAGCAGCCGTGCATGCACAGCCCACTGCGCCGAGGCCGAACCTCATGTTCCTCTGCCCGTGACCACAGAGGGGTGGCCGCCCATGCCCGCTGGCAATCATCCATCTGTTCCAAGGGAGAGAGACCAAAATAGATCTCTTCTTGGTCCTACTTACAAATGGGGCCCTGCTGGGAGGCTCCTTAAATGGAAGTGGGTGGGGCGGCCTCCAGGTCTGACTCTGGGACCCCGGCTGGGGTGGGGAAGCAGCTCTCTGAGGGATGAGAGGCAGGCCCCGGCTCTAGGAGAACGCACATTTCCTTGTGCTAAAAGCATCTTTGTGGGACATGTTCAGAAAAAGAGAGACAGTAAGACAGAAAGGCAGCTACAGAGGCCAAGTGAGTGGCCACGTCAGCGCCAAGCCCCGGCACGCAAAGGGTGAAGCTTTTAGGCGAGCGGCGGCCAGTGATCTCAGCTTCCCCCAGTCCTAATGCTCCTGAAAAGCTCTCTCCCACTCCCTGTAATTGGGCATCAGTAGTTAATGCAGTATTGACTGCATTACACGCTCCCGTGCCTCCCTTCACTAATGCCAATTGCATCACCTTGTACAGTCACCAGCTTGCTTAGCCAATAGCCGTTAAAAGCAATCCAAATCATGAATCATATGGGAAACTTTTAGCAAGACACTGCCATCCAAGGAGACAATTTACAGTTGAGTTAATCTGGGTACATTAGCGAGACATGGATTCTGGACGACAGACCAATTTATGTTGTTTCCCTGTCCCCCGCCCCACCCCCTTAGTGTTCCGTGTGGGCAAATGAACGGAAGAGCGGGGAACAGAGAGAGAAGCACCTGCTTCTTTACACAAGGCTCCGGGAGGGGGTGAGGGAGACCCGTCTTTATAGGCTCTCTGCCGGGCTGAATTGGGGCAGGAAGGGTAAGCAGCTGTACATGCTGCTCAAGATGTGGGAAGCCTCGTCCCCAGCAGCTGAGGAGGTAGCTGCTGCCGAGCTGCCAGTGGTAGCTGCAGATGGACACCCTCCTCCTCTAGGCCCCGGGCAAGTGTCAAGCCTGGTCCCCCCCACGCCAGGCTCACCAGGCCTTTACACACCCTCGGCAGACACCAGTGCCTGCTGGGCTCTGCCTTCCTGCCGACCCACTGGGGTCTCTGGCGTGGAAAAGCATCAGGGCGCACTCCCCGCCTCCATCTCTGGGGCCAGGAAGGGTCCCGGCCACACTCTGCTAGGAGAGACCCCAGGGACTTTTGCACTCCGGGGCATGATGGCATAGCCCATGAGGTCCTGCTGAGGGCTGAGCAAAAGCTGGTCAGTCCCCAGGAATAGCCAAGAGCCCGCCCTGGCAGATGAACCAGGTCCACTGCGGAGGCCACACTCATAGCGGTCATTAACTATTGAAGACTCGCTGTCTGGACCTCCTCAGCCAGCTCCGCTCTCCTTAGGCAATTTTACTTATTCAAAATGCTCTCAGAATCATGTCTGGTGTTTAGCTCTGCAATCCGCCTGCTGTTTCCTATGGTCACCCCAGTCTTCCTACGGGGCCGCCGCAGAGGCCGCTTACCTGCCTTTCTCCAGCACGCACCCCCAAGAGGGCGCCCGCAGCGTCTCCTGCTCAGTCCCCCCCACAATCCAAGGCTCTCCCTGTGCTTGGGGTTGCCTGGACCCTCTGCTGCCTGCCTCTGAGTACTCAAGGGCCGATTCTCCAATGGCCTGAGGACTAATCTGGTTCTCAGGGCTCAGGACAGGAGCTCCCGTTGCTCCTTGGAGACTGCAAGCCCCCTCTGCCCCGGAAGGCCCCCAGCCGAGTGCTAGCTCAAGCACCCGTGCCAGGGAAAGAAGGGCTCTTTCTCCGGGAAAGTTGGAGCAGGGCTTCCTTTGCTGACAGGCAGGCCCGATGGCATTTAGAAAGCCCGGACCCTGAGTTCCAGTAAAGTGGAGATGGCTAGGCCAAGAGCAAGCGTCCAAATGAAAGCAATTAATCTTAAAACCAGAAGTTTAACCATTTGCAAAACAGATCTTTCCTCTCTGTGGTGGCCCTTCACTGCTCGACCTAATGGATTACTTTATTAATAATGCACTGTGCTTAAAAGCAAAAAAAAAAAATTTTTTTTCTGACGATTCAATACTTCAGAAAGTCTCTTAAACCCGTTGCTACGGCAAAGCGATTGATATTTTATTATCTTTCAGAAGTGCAACATGAAAGCCCTGCTGCCCAGCAGAGCAAGAGCTTTGGTCCTCGGCAGCTAGCAGACCTGACTTCAACCAGAGGAGCCCCGGTCTCTTCCGACAAGATGCTGTCAGGTGGAGAAAAGGCATTGGGGGTGGTTAATAAGAGCCCCGAGTCCCTGCTGTAGCCAGACAAAGGGTGCGGCGCTGCATCCCGGAGGGATATGCTTCTTGGGGGCCCTGGGGGGCAAGGCTGCCACCTAGCCCAGAGGGCCACCTGCTGAAAGGGCATAAGTGCCAGGAAGAAATCGGGCAGCAGGCTCGGAGGGACAGATGAGTCGATCCAGAGCCTTTCTCCTTTCCCCAATGGAAGGTGCCACCTTCAGGGTTTCCTGGAATTAGGGGAGGCCAGCCTCTAACAGGGAGTGGAGGGCAGATGTATGAGCAGAAAGATTGCTTTTGGAGGACACCTCTGGGCTGGGCAGGACAAGAATTAAACGGCTCCTCAGGGCCCCAGCTGCCTACTACCTTGCTGGTGCTCTGGGCCCCAGAGCTCAGTGGTATGAACTGTAGGGGGCACCATGTTGTTCAGACTGAGCCGAGTGGGGGACTGAGGGGCATCATGAGCTCTCCTCTGCAAATCTGGCGGAGACGAGGGGAAACACGCAGGCCCAAGGGTGGCTGTCTGGAGGCAGGATACTGGCTAAAATGACCTCCAGGTATCTATTCGTATCCAGGGCTCATCCGAAAATCTTGAGTATCACCGAGCTCAAAGGAACTCTGGGGTGCCTGCACAGAGCACTACCTAGATGGCAGTGGTGGGGTCATCTTGTTACATGAGACCAATCTCCCTGCCTGAGGCCTCCCACGTATAGGGCCTGGGTTTTCTCCATTTCTGGCTTGAGCCTGGGGAACAAGCATGCCAAATAACCACGGCTGAAGACATACCCTGAGGTCCACATCTCCCCATGGGGAGAGTACCTCCACACACCGAGGAGGGGCCCTCTGCACTGGCTTCTGCAAGCCCCTCATTTTACCAAGAGGGAAAGTGAAGGCTAGCTCTGGGCATGACTGGTCTGAGAGAACCTGGGGAGCTCACGACAAAATGCCTCTTCCCTCCTGGTCTGGCCTGACCGGGTCCTTCTCCCTGTCATTCTATACAGAACTGCAGAAGCCTAGTCCTCTGACAGCCCCCAGAGGGATCCTGGAGAGGCCCTGAAGAGCTGAGAGCATACTAGAGATGGAGGTCGCACCCCGGCCAGCCCCTGGCAAATGCATTCTTTTGGCCAGAAGCACTTAGTTGCCCCTTTCCTCTCTTACTGTATACATGCTGAGAAACAGCCTTCAAGGCTCCCCCACATGCCACCCCCAGGCCAGACACTTTAAATGTCCCTCCCTAAAGGAGGTCTCAGAGGCGGTGGGGAGGCTAGGGGCACCAGCATGTGGTAGCAGCGAAGTGCACGTCCTGTGTGACCTTGAGCAAGTCACTTAACTTGGAATTTTCACCAAGTGACCATGTCAGTAACACCACTCACCCAGGCACAGGCCCAGGGGAGACTCCCTAGTAGAAGGTCAGAGAATGGCCACCACCATCAATCCAAGAGGATTACTGGTGACACGTGCAAACCACCTTCTCAGTTCCTTACCAGTAGAAACCAGGCGACAGCATGGGTGCCAACAATTACATCATCTCCCTACAACACCAACACACCAGGCAACCCTCACCTACAGGGCAGGAGGGCCCGGGGCCAGCCAAGGAACACCTACTGTTTGGCCGCCCGCGTCTGCGTTTGGGTCACGGGGCACCCACTTGGTTTTACCCTTAAGTGAGCTGCGTTCCCCAACCTCTCCTAAACATACCAGGACCCTTCCAGTCAGGAAGGCTTTGGGGTCTATGGGACCACGTGCTAGAGGCTTGCAGCTACCACGGGCCCCTGTGTTCTGACCTCTGGGGCGCACTGAGGCTCCTGATCACGTCAGGTTCAGGCCATTCTCCAGGGCCTCGCCTGCACGAGTGCCACCGGCCGGTGGCGGGACACTTTCTTCCTCGGGGCCAAACTCCCGCCTGCGCGCTCAGGGGACGGGGAGACAGCGGGCCGGCACAGGAGGCGTCTGTCTCCCCGAGGGGCCGGCGGGCCTTCGCCTCGCCCGCCGGGCGCCTCGGGGCCAGCACGGTCTTCCCGCGCGCCCGCTGGCCGCAAGCTCTGGCGTCCGATTCTCCCGAGGCCCCTGATTTGCTCGGCGCTCCCGGCCTCTCGGGTTACCCGGCCGGCGCGAGGCAGAGCGCGAGGGAGATGGCTGCGGTGAGAGGAGCCGCCGCAAAGACCAGACGCGGCGCGCGGAGCGCCACTGCGCCGAGATCCGAGGGGACCGGAGCCTGCACGCGGCCGCCCCACCGCCCGCCCGCCAGCCAGCAGGCTCCCTCCCCGCTCCCCCGGCCCCACCTGGCCGCCCCCGCCCCCGCCCCCGGCCCGGCCCCCGGCGCGCCGCCCGCCCCCGGCAACCCCGGCACAGCCCGGCGTGTGCGCGCCCGCGTCCCGGCGTGTGCTCCCGCGCGCCGCGGCGGGGGGCGAGGGGGTGCGGGGCGGCGGCCCCCTGCCCGCCACCTACCGTCCTCCTTGTCCAGCACCATCATCTCGGGCGCTCCGTGTCCAGCCGCAGCTCGGCTCGGCCGGGAGAAGGGCGCCGATTCCGGGCGCGCTTCGGCGGGGCGGCCGGTCCTCGGGCAGCGAGCGGGCTCTAATTACCCGCTTGTCCGGCTCTTAACCTAGATTGCACTCAGCTAGAATTACATTCAGGAGCGAAGCACTTCGCAGATACAAAAGCAGTCTCACCTACTTTTGTGCCTCAGAATTGCAAGGAACTACGAACTGCAATTTAGAGGGAGAGAGAGAGGGAGAGAGAAGGGGGAAGAGAGGATCAGAGCCGTTTCTTTGATTCTCACCTTCTAAATGGCTCAATTTGCCCAGTATAATCTGTCTTAATGTAATTGCATTTGATAGCTCATAACCCTGGCTCTGGCAACGACACAGCTTTCAGCCTCATAAAGTGTTTTCCCCTCGGATTTAATCTGAATCTCAATCTAAAATTATATTCAAAGAGATGGGGGAATCTCGGCGGCCGTCTCCCGCTGCCTTTCTCCCTCCATGTATGAGGTTTGCACTCCTGCTACTGAATAAATGCACACATTTCCCGAGGCCCCCCTCCCTCCCGGGTTAATGGGGAGTGGAGACGCGCGGCTGCCCGGCTCCGCAGCGCCACCTGGAGGTCGCTCGGCCCTAGCTCGGCGCTTGGTTCTGCGCAGCACCCAGGGTCCTCATCCCAGATATTTGTCCCGTGGACCACGCTTTTTTTCCACTCCCAACCCCTCAGCCTTAGTTTCTGACCCCCGCCCCCCGCCCACCTGAGCGATCTTTCTCTGATCTCGTACCCTCCGTTCCTACCAGCTCTGCCGGAGGCTTCCGGTTGCCTCCTGGATTGTTTGGCAAAGTTAACACTCTGCAGGGTACAAACTCTCCCACTTTGAGTCTTCCAGCATCACCCTTATCCCAGCAACTCCCACCCCCCAAGAGCATCCTAATTCCATAGGGAGCAGGATCCTGTCTCAGCTTCTCTCTGAGCAAGCACAGCATGGCTTTGAAGGTTTTTCTCATTCCAAAACTATTTATTGAGCATGTATTATTCTAAGGCACTGGCGAAACCACAGTGAACAAAAGATTCCTATTTCGGAGTTGAAAATTCTTGCTCTGTAACTCAGGAGGCAGGAAGGAAGATAGTGTCCATCTCCTCTCCTCCTGAACCCTACTTTTCCCCAAGAGCCTTGGGGCTAGTGCCCAGGCTGCCTACTCTAGGAAGGCCACTCTTAAATACCAAGAGCTTTTTTTTTTTTCCCTCTTGATGGTACCATGTTCCAAGAGGGAATGGAAATATTAATGGATTTTCTAAAGGCCAAGGAGGGCTGCAAAAAGACGTGTCAGAGGTTCATCCCTGGCAGACACTTCTGAGGACTAGACCCAGGCAAGGAGAAGGCAAGAACCACCAGTTGGGATTTCATCCCATCTCTGCCTATGACCAATGGTGGGACCTTAGCAAATCACTTTGTCTGGGCCTCAGTTTCCCTGTTTGTGAAGTGGGAGACCTGCTCCGCTATCCAAGGTTGCTGTGGGGATTAGATGAGCTAATGTATGTGAATGTGCCTTGTAAACTGTGGCACCCGACCATGGGGGGACTTACTGAGTATACATGAGACCTGGAGGCCAGGCTGGGCCCCTGAAGCCCCGGGAGGCTCCAAAGCAGGGTACCTGACAGGGGTGGAAATGGGGGAGTGGGGCTACAGCCCATCTTCCTCTAGCCTAAGCGGGGAAGTCAGGCTCTGAGAAAATAGAAGAGAGGCTGCTTCTAATGAGATGCCTCATCCGCAGCTCAGAGGGTTTCGCTTTCCCCTTCATCTTGAATACTTAATCCTAATAGTCCTTGAGCATATTTGATGTTAAATATACCATTTTGCTCAGCCTCACTGTCCCTCAGGACTGCGAGCTTGAGGTCTCCCCCGCCACTGCAGCCCGAGCTATACCCCGAGGGTCTGAAGGAGGCTTAGCCACTGCTGCTTCGGACACATTTCGTACCAACCCCTCACCCCAGCCGGAGCTGGGGGCCACACAGGGTCAACAGCAATGGGCCTGACAGGCTGGCAAGGGGTAGCTTCTGGCTCTAGACGCCTCTGTGCTACCTGATCCCTCCATAAGGGCTGCAGCTTTACTCTCAAGTCCCAGGGCCGCTCCTCCTCCCTTTCAAGGGTCTGGCCCTGACTCACAAACCAGGACTTGACTAGCTGGGGGCATTTTCCCACTCTCTTGTTCATGTGTTGGGCTTGGGGCTCTGTCCCAACACCAGCTCCCCCAAGCCTCCAATTAGCAGCTACCCCATCAGCATCCCCCTGGGGAGTCGGGGGCCCTGTGCCCCCCACCTCAGGGACAGGAGCAGGCCTGGGCTGCTGAGCCAGGGGCTGAAGAAGCAGGTAGGGTATGTCAGCAGGGGATCGCTGCTGTGTGTGAAACGCTGCTCGTGTCCACAGGCAGCTCTCTCTGCACCCCCAGTTGGGAGCATCGAGCTCCCACAGTGATCTGGAAAAGGGCCTCCACAGAGGCCTTCCACTTTATAGAGCTACCCAGCAAGCCTTGGAGGGTTTAGGTGACTGGAGCTCTTAGCCAGGAAGGGGCTTGCTGGATGGACAGGGCCAGACATAAGCCTCACCCATCCAGCAGCCACCCTCTCAGCTCAGGGGGAATTGCTGGGCAGGCAGGTAACCCCTGTGCCCGGGCCTACGCCCCACCCGAGCTGTCTCCAGGTCCAGGCGCACGCTCGCAACACCAGGGTGGAATCCTCGATCCCCTGCGGCTGGGGGAGGTAGTCTGCACCCAACACAGTCCACAGGAGATGAGCATGTACTCTCAAGTCAATGTTGCCAAGAGTGCTCTGGAATGTCCTTGAAATGCCTCTAGGGACAAGAGACGCAGACCAGCTGATCAGCCCCCAGGTTATGGTGAGGAGAAAGGGGGTGCTCCTGGCTGCCTTTCAAAGTCTGGGGCAGGTCCTAGCAGTTTGTCCCTGCACCTGGCAGGAAAGTCCTGAGGAAGGGTTCCTGCACTGGGTTTGGGAGGTGTGTGTAGGGGGGCAGGGGGAGACTCTTTGCCCCAGGGTCTGGGCAGACCAGATATTCCAGAACTCAGCGGAGGCTGTCAGATGTGCCTCAGCCTGAGGGCCCTGCTTCCAACACAGTGCCGCTGTCTCCAAGATGGCGTTACCAGTGGGCTTCACAGGTGAAGCTCACAGAGGTATCTGGACTGACAAGGGCCCCTTCCCTGTGGCCGTCACAGCTGACAGGACCAAGTGACCCCACAGATTTTGCAGCACAATCAGGAGGCCTGCTGGCCAAGTTCAGATGCCCTGCTCTGCCCTCTTCTAACACAAAAGCAGCCTAAACACAGGAATTTGCAATTAGCTAGAGTGGAGAAGTACACAGTTGACAAACTTTCCCCCTTTGGTTTCTGGAAGACCTTCTAGGAAGCTGCAGTTACCATCTGTTAGGCCTGGTGGAGGCCTAGGCCAAATCTGCCCCCCAGAAAGCAAGTCTCTCCCATCCTCCCGAAGAAGGCCAAGCCACCCCTGCAAAACAGCTCTGAGAAGGTTGTGGATGTAGGCTGACACGCTGTCTTGGTTTGTCCAGGACTGAGGGGTTTCCCAGGAGGCAGGACTTTTCAGGGCTAAAACCAGACGGTTCCGGGCAAACCAAGACAGTTGAAGACCACAGTGGAAGATGGTAGGCTGGGACAAGGGACTAGTGGCGCCAGAGAGAAAGGTCAGGCAGCCAGACCCTTCCCTGCACACCAGCAGCTGCCTCCCAGCCTCAAATTTCCCCAGCCTCCTGCTCAGGGCTTCATCCCCCCTGGGCACTAAGGAACTGCCCTAGCCCCTGGGGATCGTCCCATGGGGCAGCCAGGCTGTGTCTTCTCTTGCAGATCGGTAGTTACAGTGGGAAAGCTGTGAGTTGGACTCAGGGGTGGATCCATATTTTTTGAGAGCCAAGCTTACTTATGCAGTTTAGGGGTCGGGGGTGCTCTTTAAGAAAAGGAATACAAGCCTGCTAACACAAAATGACCACCGAAGGACTATGAAGCTTAAACTTCATTGGCTTCAAGGTAAATCCGCTCCCCGATATTCTGGTTACAGGGCCCGACCCTAGCCAGCAGGGCACCTCCCGACACACTTGGCTGGCGGAACCGTGCCAGGGGTGAAGCAACGTGACCCATCCCTCAGCTATGAAGTTCCAGATCTGAGGGACCCCAGGACCGTGCCGGTTTGCCTGCAGGTTCTCTGGGTATCCCCCTGGGGGAGCCGTTCCGCAGTCGGGGGCGGAAGGGGGGACGCGCAGACACCCAGGGAGCCTAGGAGACTCGGGGGCTGGGGGCACTGCGGGGAAGCCCGCGGCGCGGGTCGCAGAGGCGCTCCCCGTGTCTGCGAGACGGCAAGAGCCAGAGAGAAAGTTCCCGGCCCGAGCGAGCGGGGCTGGGGCTCGCGGCGGCCCGGGTGACTTCCCGACCTGGCTGCAGAACCCTGGGGCTGAGCCCCGCACCCCCGGCCCGCACGCCCGCGCGCACACCCAGCGCCGCGCTTCCGGGAAGCGGCCGAGCTGCCGGAGGCTGCCGAGGCCGGCGCGGGGGACGCTGCCGCCGCGAGGCGAGCGGGGTGGCCTCGGCAGGGCCCGCGCCCTCCCCCCAACCCGGGACACCTACCGTCCTCCTGGTCCAACACCATGGTCCCCCGGCGGCGCCAGCCCGGCACGGGCCGAGGACGCTGAGGGGCACGCGGCTCGGACTCCGCCGCCGCCCGCCTGCGCTGCTCCCGCCGGCCCCGCGCGGGCTCCGCGCCCCGCGAACGGCGGCCGGGGACGGGGGCGGGCGGACCGGAGCCTGCAGCTCAGCCCCGCGGGCCGGGAGCGCGGGAGAGCGGGCGCGTCCCGGGGGCGGGGGCGGGGGCGGGGGCGGGGGCGGGGGCGCGTCGGTCCGCCGCGGGGTCGCGGGAGCCGCGCGAGCAGCCGCTGCCCGGGCCGGGCCGGAGCCGCCGCCGGAGCCGCCGCGCGCCCGTTCTCCGTCCGCGCGGGCCGCGCTAGCCTCTGCCGAGTGCAGCCTGCGTTTCCCAGGGCCCCTCAGCTCCCCTGTTAATTAAATCAATTCATTATGCTCAGATCTGATTAGCGGCCCTTCCCCCTTTTGAATCAATTATTCAATACACAAACATAATTGCTTGGGCCAGAGGTGCCCGCCATTAGCTTATTTAACTCCAAGGACACTAATTACCCGCAGGGCACGGGAACTTTTCTCATTAATTCTGACAAAACACAAAAGCACAGCCAGTGTGTGCGTGTGAGCGACTGTGTGTGTGTGTGTGTGTGTGTGTGTGTGTGACCACACGCCAGAGCTAGGGCAGTGTGGGGTGGTGAGCCGCCGTGTGAGCGTGGCGGTAGCGGAATGTGTACGATCGCGGGTGGGAGTTTGAGTCGGTGGCCGCGCGGGTGTGAGTGGGGGATCCGTGCGTGTGACTGTGAGTGCATCGAGCTGGGTGTGGCTCTGGGTCTGGGGACTGCGGGCCAGGGTTAGAGACCCAGCGCAGGAATGGTGAGATTGTAAGTGCTTCTGTGTGTGACTTTGTGGATTTGACTCCGTGGCTACTGTGGTGGGCGCCCCATCCCCTTTCTTTTTTCATTACTGCCCGGCATTGCCGGTTGCACATTCAAGCCCATGGGCTAAGTGCAGAGCACAGAAGAGAAATGTGAGGATCTGGAAGTGGTGGGTGGTGTTTCTGCACCGGCTGGGCTATGCTTCTCCCTCCCCGGCCACCCCAGGCTCCCCCAGCCCACCCCCTTTTAAAACTCCAGGTTCCCATGCTCCCCTTCCTTGGCCCATCTCGGTACTGCCTCCCACCCCACCCCATCCCCAGCCTTTATCCTACAGCCCTCCCCGCCCCTGCCTCTACCCCTATTTCCACAGGTGCCTGCCACCCAGGCACACCCCCACCCAACTCCGCCCACCCTCTGCCTAGTTCTTCCCTCCTGTCTGCCAGGCTGAACCGAGGGTGTGTCTGTGGTTGACCAACTTCACATTTTACCTCCCAGGAAATCTCTATTGAGAGCGAGCGAGTATGAGAGCCCACAGAGGCTGGGACACAGAGGGTAATTGATTCCCCCAAATTAGGTTTCTGCTTTCTAAAGACCAGTATTGTTCCTGTTCTCAATGTGCACAGAGGTATTGAAGATTTCCTTTTTGTTTCCTCAGGCAATGAATGAGCTTAATCCATTTGGCTTTATAAATCAGGAAACTAATATTCGCTCCTTCCATGGCAGCTTTTTAAAAAATTTAATTGGTGGTGGGGAGGGGCACATTTTGTCACCCTTATGCTGTCCCCAAGCCACCACTTACCAAAACATATTCTGACTGAGGGGTGGAGAACAGGCTGGGCGGAGGTGGGAAGGGGAGGCTCATCCTGATTTTCCCTGCCCTCCTCTGTCCTTGCACTTGGACTCACACAGTATCTGAAAAGTTTGTGAAATGACTGAATGATACTCAACTGGGTGAAGAAAAGGGGAGCGTAGAGGTGCTCTTCAGAATGATCTTCCAAGTCTGCTACTCGCAGTCTTCCACTAGCACTGAATGTAAGCACACCACACCCAGGGGTGGCAAGTCCTCCTCCTCACCATCCTGCACAAGCCGCTAAAGTCATCTTCCTGTTGTCAGGATCTGACCCTGCCACTCCCTTTCTCAAAAACCTTCCATGGCTCTCCAGTGTCCTGGTGACAAAACCCCAACTATTTATCCTCTCATTTCAGGTCCTTCCTCAAGATCTGAAGAAGTCTTTGTGACCACCACTATCCCTTATTTCCACTGATCTCTATTGATTTCCAGCAACCACCTTTACACTCCTGCCCCACCCTCTGGACTATTTTCCTATCACTGAACATATCCGGCAGGTTCCGGCTCCAGGGACTCCTCTCAGGGAATCCCTCTGCTTAGGAAGCCCCGGCCCATGTCTCAAAATCCTCTAAGGAAACAGCTCCTCTCTGTTCCTCTAAGTGGGTGTCTCTGTGTGAAGACTGTTATTGCTGAGGGGTGTGTGGATTATTTAGTTGAGGCCTGGGGGATGAGATCAGCCGCCGAGGGGAGTGTTTCAGCTCTCCCCTGGAGTGGGAGGAGAGATACGGTATCAAGAGTCTACACTGGGTCACTGGAGAAAATGGAAGCTGCAGAGGCAGGGGAATGAACCCTGCTTTCCTGAAATTTAGATACAGGAATGGAGGCTCAGAAAGAGGGACACTTGGGCATCATCTTCCTCCCCACCCCCAGGATCTCAGATGGCATGGGACCGGAGCCCAGAAACATGCTTTCTCTGTCGGCCCAATATTTGGGTCTCCATAGTGTTTAGTCCTCTGGGTCGGTAGGCATAGCCACTGCCTACATTAGTGATAGCTGTTTCCTGCAGTAGGGCAATCGGCCAAGGGGGCAGGAGGGAGCTGAAGTTCTGCCCTCTTTCTGCTTTCTAAACCGTGGGCCTGGTGTAGGCTGCACCCACTCAGAGAAAGCACCTTTTTCTAATTTGTGCAAGGACCCCATGTGGGCTAGCATGGCCCTCCAATTGAGAATCTCTGCTTGGCCAGAGTTCACACTCAGAGAAGCCAGCCTGAGAGGTCCCCCAGCCATCCCTGTGCCCTGCCACAGCCCCCCAACCAAGGATCTGGTGAGCTCTTAGGAGACCATTCTCCTAGTTGTCACAGAGAAAAAGAGAGTTCAGAGAGCTTAACCATCACAGAGTGGTCAGGGATATTGAAATAGAAGCCCAGCCCCAAGCCCTGGTGAAAGACATTGAACTCAGTCCACAGCTGAGATTCAGACATGGACAGACCTACCATGAAGACAGAGGTCCCTAACAGGGGCCATGTTGGAGGAGAGAGAGAGTGAGGTTCCTGGGACAGGACCAGACTGAACCACAAGGCCTGGAGTTTGGTGGGCTAAGTCCCAGGTACAGTGCTAAGCTGGGCCTGACGCACTCCCAACCAGCGCCCCAGGAAGTGGAGAGCAGTGGTAGAAATGAGGAACCGGTCACTCTGGGCCCCTCGCTCTGCTATGGGATCCCCTCTGAAAGAGCTGGTCACTAGGAGCAGGGGGTATCTCCAAGCTGGGTCAAAAAGGATAAGAGCAGCTAGGGTCAGCAGCTTGGTGGCGTTGGCAGAAGCACAGGCATGGAATGGGTGACAAGACGGCAGGAGCATCAGACAGCAGCTGTAATTACACAAGAGGCATCTATACCTCAGGCCCATCAACCCCACCTCCCAACGCTGGAATTGTTAGAGATGAGAAAGTGACTTTTTCCAGAACTCAAATTCTCATGGTGCCCAGAGGTACTTGGGTTACACGCGTCAGCATTCCCAGAAGGTCTCACAACTTTTTGGAAAGGAGGTTCCTGAAGAGGAGAATCAGGGGATCAGATTTGGGAGCTAATTATCGTAAATGTGTGAGACCTGATACTTGGTATTTGTATGGCTTTTATGTTCCAACCTGTCTTAGCTAGCTACATGATGCGCATGAAGGGAAAGGCTGTGTGAGCAAGAAAGAGCCAGAACAATGAGAGGGGAGCAGCCCCCACTGGCCACTTTGCCTGGTGGCAATGGAGCTTGGCAGGAGCCACGAAGGGCACTACATCAAGGTCATCAGGCAGATCAAAGGCTTTCCTTGCACTGCCCCTCGCTGCCTAGAGGGCCTCTTGAGGCCATGCTTGCTCTCCAATGCTCCTGTACTTCTACTTCATTTCCTTCTCATCTCCCCAACCATCTGGTCCTCCTGCCCCATTCCAGTTTCAGCAGATGACATCACCTCTGACCTGACTCAGATGAGAGAAGGTATCAGACAGGAAGGCCCTCCCTTTCCTGCCTCCAGTCTATGCTCCTACCTTTATCGTCAGCATCTGCAGCAGAGCCCTGGTCACAAGCACCTTCTCTCCCGAAAAAGTGGCAAATATGACCTTCCTCCTCCCTGGGCCCTATTCCTCAGCTGGTGCCCTGGCCCACCTGCTACCACCTGTCAAGGTGTTCTGTTGGCTCTTCCTGGCCCCTTCGATCTCCCCTTTCTGCTGGACAGTTTACCATAGCATGGAAAAAGGTCTGGTGTCTCATCTAAAACAAGCAAGTCCCTGGACTGCACATCATTCTTGAGAGATACTTTGCCACCCATTCCCTTTTCTTGTCTGACTTCCTTACCTCCTGCTCTTCCCGCACCCACTCCTATCAGGTCTCTACAAGGCTTGCCAAGGTCACCAGTGATTTTTATGACACGAAGGGATTATTTTCAGGCCTCACTTGACCCGACCTCCCAGCATTTAATAATGCATTTAATTCCTTCCTTCTTGAACGTGATTTTTCCCTATACTAACATGCTGTCTGAGTTTTCCTCGTCCCCCAGTGGACATTGCCTTTCACCTTAGCTATTGCTGGCCCTCCTCTTTCATCTAGTCTTTAGCTGTTGACATTCCTCAGGACTGGGTCCTGGGCCATCTTAGAACACCTTCCCCTGGGGTGCCACCCATGGCTGCCAGTGTGTGTGACCTTCACTAGGATCTCTGCTTTGAGTTCCATTCCAGTATTTCCAAATGCTCTCTTGACATCTCCACTTGGATGTCTCAAAGGCATCTTAAATTTTAAAATCCGAATTGAACTCTTGATATTTCTTCCAAAATCTTTCTTCACCTTGTTTCAGTTAACTGGCCACTCCATTTTTAATACCAGAATTTCAATCAAGCCAACAAAAGTAAAAAAAAAGAGAGAGAGCGAGAGAAAGAAAGAAAAAAAAGAAAGAGAAAAGAAGTAAAGCTAAGTATATCAGGTTATTACACTGTTAGTTATTACACTAACTGCATTCCTCTATCGAAAGACAAAAGTCTGAATAAGTTAACTAATAAAATAC